ATATATATATATTGAGTATTACGAGGTTAAAACAAATATCGGATGAATGAGGAAGAAACACTTTAGTTTCAATAAATAAGAATATGGGGGATATACAAAATTATAAAAATTATAGGGGGGTTAAACTAATGAGTCATACCGTGAAGCTATCAAAAAGAGTGATTGGATGAAGACTATGAGAAGAGACTTAAGTCAACGAGAATCAATTCGGTTTTATGCCTGAGAGATTGACCATGGAAGTGATCTATCTATTACCGCAGATGATGGAGCAGTATCGGATATACCAACAAGACTTGCATTTAATTTTTATTGACTTGGAGAAGGCATATGATAGAGTTCCTAGAGAGATTTTGTGGAAAGCTTTAGAGAAAAAAGGGTTATGATTTCATATATTTGAGTTATCCAAGATATGTATAAAGGGGTATCAACTGGAGCACGGGCACAAGGTGGAGAGACCGACGATTTCCCCAATACAACATGTTTGCACAATAATTCAACCATAAACCCCTACCTTTTTACTTTAATTTTGGATGTACTCACAGAGCATATTCAAGATTTAGAACCAAAATGCGTGCTTTTTAGAGATGATATAGTCCTACTGGGAGAGTCAAAGGCAAATTTAAACGAGAGGTTAGAGACTTGGAGACGAGTTTTAGAAACGCATGACTTTCACCTAAGCAGAAGTAAGACGAAATATATGGAATGTAAGTTCATAAAAAGGAGGAGCATTTCTAACCTAGAGGTGAATTTTAGAAACCATATCATCTCACTAGTCACATGGTTTAAATATTTAGGTTAGCAATACAAAATGATGGAGAAATAGAAGAGGATGTAAATCATCGAATTCAATTTATATAGTTGAAATGGAGGAGGACTTCATAAATTTTATGTGACATAAAGGTATTGCTTATGTTAAAGGGAAATTTTTATTGGATTGTGGTAAGACATGTGATACTATATTGGACACAATGTTGTGCGCTTAAGAATCAACACGAGAATAATGTAAATGTAGCAGAGATGAAGATGTTGCATTGGATGTGTCGCAAGACTATACATGATAAGATTCAGATAGAGTGTTAGGGTAACACTTATAGTAGAAAAAATAATGGAGAATAAACTTATGTGGTTTGGGCATGTAGAGAGAAGACCTTTAAATTTTGTGGTAAGGAGAGTAGATAAGATGTATAGGGGTCAAATAGCTAGAGGTCGAGGAAAGTCTAGGAAAACTATAAGAGAAATTATTAAGAAAGATCTCGAGCTTAACAATTTAGATATAAGCATGGTTCTGGATAGAACATTATGACGAAAGTTAATCCATGTAGACGACTCCACTTATTGGGATAAGGCTTAGTTTTTGTTGTTATTGTTGTTGTTATATCTATTTTACTTTCATAATACGATTTTCTCTTCTTTTTTTAAAAAAAAAATTATCTGTTATTTTATTTTAAAAAATTGACATCTTTTTTTTTTAAATGTATCTATTCCTTCATTTGGATTGTCCAACCAAGAAAAATATCTTATGCATATATTTTTCAGAACTAGACTCTAACTATTCATTTATTTTTCAACACTCGTTTAATCTTCCTTCTCATCCAAAAATCGATCAGTTTATTTACAAAAATATACCCTAGGAAATTTTATTCTTCATCTAAACCCATATTCCATAACCGTTTTCGAAACTTCACCCTTTTCAACACATGTAAGTGTTCGAACATCAACTCTTCCAACACACATATGTTTCCTCCCTTTGAATACCATACCTTTGAAGTTTAAATATAGCTTGAAACAAAGGTAAGACAACCAAACATCAATAAATCTTGCTCCACCATTTTTGTATCTTATTCATCACATGTTTGGTATGTAACTCACTCACTTTATCCATGCACGTAATTTAAAAATGTTAGTTTTTTTGGTGTGAATTTCTAAATGCCTATAAATTATATTATTCTGAATATGTTGATAAAAACGGAAATATAATTTTTGTTTTTTGTGTTGATATTGACAAAAGCCCATATGTACCATGAGTTAAGTAATGTTCATATGTCTCATGGGTTAAGTAAAATAGTTTTTGTTTTCTTTATTGTTGACTTTGTTGATGGTGTGTTAAGCAAAATATTTATGGTGTTATTCTAATGAAGCGTTGTTAGGAATGTGTTACGTAATATATACCATATATACCATAAATCTCATATTAGGTGTCTTTGTTGATGCAATTCTTGGGAAGTATTTTTAGGTTTCTTTATTAAAGTTGTGTTAAGTAAAATGTTTATTGTTGTTGTTGTTGTTTAAACAGAGATAAATGATTTAACCACCACCTCTCTTATAATCACATCTAATAAGACTAAAAGTAAAATAAATTCTAAAGGTGCCACGATAATGGTCAGGTTGACAAAAACATTTATAGAGTGGTAAGTATTATGGTGAAAATACTACGACATTTAAGAGTTTTTTATAAGTAATTTGCACCTTGCAGGAATCAAACTTAAGACATTGAGAGGAGCACACTCTTAAGACCCAAGTCTTCACCATTAGGCCACAAACACGCACACGCAACATTTAAGAGTTACGTGGCATTACTTGGTAGAAGAAAAGTGAACATTTTATTAGATGATTAGAGTCAGGTTGATGGTGACTTGAAAAGCAGTATACAGACTGATCTTGAGTATTTATGGTTAAGGATTGTCTTAGGTTTTTGTGATCATATGGTGTTAAAGTAAGCTCACGCAAGGTGGTGAGAAGTTTTGTATACTATTGTTTTTTAAATGAAATTGAGTGTCCTTCTCAACTTTAGGGTTGCGATATTTATAAGAATCTTTTGGACTTGCATCTTAAGCTTCGAGAGAGTAATACACACTCTTAAGAGCGTGGTTAGTCAATTCCCCTATTATCTAGGAGACATGTTTTCCTCCTTTTTGACTTCCTCCCGTCAATTCCCCTATTATTTAGGCGACATGTTTTCCTCCTTTTTCACTTCCTCCCACATACCGCTAATGACAGGGACACATGATCCCTATGTTTCATAGAAGACAAATGATATAAGAAATGAGCGTCACAACTAAATGTCAACGCTCGATCCAATAAATGGGCAACTAAATGTCAACGCTCGATCCAATAAATGAGCAGCTGGGGATGATATATTACGTCGCCTCTCCTTATAGAACTGGGGATGATATATTACGTCGCCTCTCCTTATAGAACTTCCTACATTGTTTCTTGTGAGCCTTTTACAAATATACTAATACAAATTCCAAATGTTTGTGAAAGATATTAGTCTAGAAGAAACTTGGAGTGATGTGAAGCCATATGTGCACCATTTTAGGGTATTTGGTTATCTAGCATTTGTACACATCCTTGACTTACAGAGAAAAAAGCTAGATGCCAAAATTATTAGGTGTGTGCACTTGAAAATGAGTGATGAATCCAAGACCTGTAAACTTTAGGATCTGATCTGGTTGGGAAAATAAATAGTAAGCATAAATGTGTTTGAATCATTAAAATGATGGAATTGGTGCAAGCAACATTAGAAAAAAACTGCATGGCCGACTAACAATGCAGATAGTGATGAAAGCAATGATGAGGACATCAATGAAATTGACAAGGCTAATGAAACGTCGGCATAATCAAATGTTGACATCGATAATGCTCCTCAAGATGAAGAGGACAATGAAGAAGATTTAAGTCAAAGAAAAGAATATGAACTTCCTCCTAGACTCAAGAAGAAGCCAACCTATCTAGATGACTATGTGACTGGTCTGGAAAGTGAAGAAGAAGAGCAATTACAAAATTTGGTTGTATTCTATAGCAAAGAAGATTCTATCACATAGAATGATGCTGTCAAGCATGAAACATGGAGAAAGATGTTGGATCAAGAGGTTCAATCAATTGAAAAAATGACACGTGGGAGCTAACCAATCTACCACCTGGAGCTAGAAGAATAGGTGTAAAGTGGATCTTTAAAAAAAGTGCAACGAAAAAGGAGAGATTGAGAAGCATAAGGCCAGACTTGTGGCCAAATGGTGCTCACAACAACATGGTATAGACTACAACACAAAGGCTGCTCTGAACAACATGGTATAGACTACAATGAAGTCTTGCACCTGTTGTAAGATAGGATGCTATAAGGGCTATCTTATCTTTAGCACAGTTTGTATCAGCTAAGGCTACCTTATCTTTAGCACAGTTTGTGTCAGCTAAGGCTACCTTATCTTTAGCACAGTGTCAGTTGCATCACGTGCATGTCAAAGATTTTGGCTCAGGAAAGTTCTTTTTCAATTGGGGCAGGCACAAAAGAATGACACAATTATTCTATGTGACAATGATTCAACCATCAAGCTTTCAAAGAATCCTATATAATACATAAAGATACAAACATATTAATGTTATATTTTACAGATTTCACTAGAGATGGAGTGATAGAGCTGAGCCACTACATCATTGAAGAACAACTTGCAGCTGTAATGACCATATCATTTTGTAGATTAAGATCAAGACTTAGAGTGTGGGATTTAGCTCAAATCAATTAGCTTATGTTTTTCTGTTTTGATTGTTGATTGTATATTTAATAATTACTTGCAATGCAAGTAACATTCCCTCTCTTGTAATCAAGCACATATAAAGGCATTGCCATATCAATGATATGATAAAGATACTACATTTTATCCTACCCAGCCACCCTCACCAATGGAGGTCATCTATAATTTTAGAGTGACATTAAATTAAATTACAATGCTCAACCATGATTAATAGTAAAATAGAAAACCTATGAGAAATTTTATTGTAAAAGAACTATGATAAGTACAACAACATAAAAAGAATCCCACCTCATGCATCTTTTATCACACTATAAAAAAAAACTGTCCCATCAATCTATCAATAAAATGTTCTTTTCCTTTCTACCTCAAAGTAAATTGTTCAAGACTATAACTTTACTTACTTTCTTTGAATTTGACTATTATTATTTTGTAACAATTTATCTCCCTGTGATAAAATTACACGCAGACTCACTTCCTGCCACCAGGCTTTCTTGCAGGAGGAGCATTGTCTTCATCATCTGACTGGATATCTCCATATTGCCACATCCCGCGCCTCTTGGTCTGGGCTTCTCGCTGGAACGTCTCCAAATTCTCGAGTGCAAGTTGTCTTTCTTTTCTGTCCCTCCTGTTTCTTTTTTCTAGTCTAGCAAGTCCTTCCTAGGAAATTCACAATGGAATAAAAACAATATATTAGACAAGATATGCTTTGTATCGTAGGTATTGTTGTATGTATTTAATCAAAGTATATTAATTTGGAAGCAAGCAAAAGAGTTAGGGACAGTAAATACCTGCAACAAGGTTGCATTAACGCTGATCTTAGATTCCTCATCAACAAGAGTTACAGCAAAAACTGTTCCGGTTCCCTGCCCTTTTATTTTCCCACTTGATGTATCTTTCTCCTCAACCTTTGCTTTAAACACTTTTCCACTGCTTAAAGTGAGTTCGCTAAAATATTCAGCTGCTTCTTGACCAAAATCATCTTCCAAATTTGGAACCTTCACGTATGCAAGGGTGCACAATTGTGCGAGACCAGCAGAATGGGATATTGATGGATCAATAGGCCGTAGTTGACTGTATGGTACTTCTTCTTGATTTCCATAATCAATGTAGAATACTTCAAATATGTCGTTAGGAGATTCAACTGGTCCTTTAGGTCCATTGACAATCTACATAAATAAAAAAGAGAGTAGAATTAGACAAAGTGATACAAATGATGTAATTGCATTAAATTTCAAAAAGTGTAGTGTTCACAGTAAAATGAATTGTATGACTGAATATAGCCACGCCACAGGTTATTGCAGGAAAATTAAAGTTTTCACTCTTCGAATATCAAATGATGTATTTCTCAGTACTCATCAATGGACACATTTTTCATCCATAACATAGAAATGTCTTCTTGCTAGAGTGGTACTCAAACTAAGAACTTACCATTGCCCGGTACCAAGCTTTATCTGCACCAAAAAGACAAAGGACTGTGTCTCCCTTCTTTGGATTGAAAGTTCCGAGCAGTGGAGTTTCTTTAAGGTCCAAGTTAGCAAGTTGTTTCTGAAGGGATGCTATATTTGAATCCCCAACGGGCTGAACATAGAATTTACCACCACCCAAGACTTCTGTAACCACTACCTAAGAGCATATAAAAATGGGAAAAGCATTCATACTTTTTCAATATAAAAAGAAGTGTCATTTATACAGAAGTATTACAAGTACCTTAAGCACTTCTTGCTGTTTTTTTTCAACAGTTGTGCCATTAGATACTTCCTCCCCTTCAACATAATTTTCCCATATCTGCAACACGACACTTTAGAACAGAAAATAGATAAAGAACAGTGGTATTTTCAAACATGGTTTGCATCCTCCTTACTCTCAGCTTTTCCCTCTTGGCAGATTGTTCAGCTTGCTCCAGAAGGTGAAAATCAGGAATTCTGTCACTGCCAAAGGAGGTTTGAAGTTTTGCAAGACCAGCTTCAAGTAGAGTAACTGCCACATTGGTCTTAGACTCCCATAAGGAACCCAAGAAATTTCCATTTCTATCAACAGTTTCCACCTCAATCTGTAAACATTGAAAGTTACATTTTTAAGAAACAAAGAAGTAACTATTAAGAAATCTCAACTTCATGGAGGAACTACTAGTACTAAATACCTCAACGTCTCTCTGTATTATCTTTCGCCTCATTAGTGCAATTGCTTCACCAGAATATGGTTCATCACGACCAGGACATCTGACACCGGACAATGAGAAAGCAATGCTGCAAGTTTCTTTTGGAATTAACAATTTAAAACGATGGCCACTGAGGACATATTCCACAACTGCAGGGACTTTTCTACTTCGGTGAAGAAACGGCAGGAAATCCTTGGCTTTCTTTGCTGATGTCTAAAATGAATCAAACAGTAAATATTAATTAGAGTACGTAGTACTAAAATGAAAATTTAGAACAATCATAATTTTTCTCACAGTGGTCAAGTCAGTTATATGCATGACTGGAGAATCCTTGGCAGAATGGATCCCTTTCCTTCCAGAAATAGCACGTGACTCAGCAGCAAGAAGAGTATCATAGAAGTTTGATCTCTCTTCAAAGTCACGATGTCTAACAACACTTCCAAATCCACGCCCAACTACCAACTCAGCAACATTCACCCCAATTTGCTGACTTCCAGTAGATGCAACAGCTGATGGGGCATTGTCACCTTCAGCTTTGCTGGCGGACAGCAGGAACACTGATCCGAAATCCATTGTTCTAGCTTCAGGAGCTCCTGCTGGAACTGCAGATCCATCTGCTGTACCAACCTTTCTAGAATACTCCATTTGAACATTCACCTGAAAACATGCACAATTATTAGAAATGTGTTTACCAATGATGTTAAAATATACCGTCACATAATGTTTTCATACTTGACGACCAATGAGGCGTGTTCTCAAGAACTCCTTTGCTTCACGGGCATAAGGAGCTGGTTTTTCATCTCTACGAGGATTGCCTATTTTTGGACACCTAATACTCGAAAGGTTGACTCTCCGCTCTGCTAGTGGACTTCCGTATGGAATAGAATCATCAGCAACAATGATGCAATCTCCACTAACAACCTCAACTACCTAGAAAAAGAGAGCCAAATGTTATACACTTGTATCACTTGAACTGAATATTAACTTATTTGGGATAAATCCATGGTTGGAGAAAATTTTACCTTTCCCCTAAAATTCTGGCCATGAATTGCCTTTGAATTTGTAGGTGGTGGTACATAGTTTGTCCACAGCTTTAACCTGTTCTTCTTTGCCTGAAGCTCTGCGGTTTTCAGCCTCCGCTTTGCCTCTTCTTCCATCATATTTGCACTCCATTCAACATATTTGGCAAAACCCTGTATCATTGAAGAAATCAAAATGACAGATATTTTCATGAAAGTTTTAGTGATATCTTATCAGATGAAGTAACTCCTCACACTCAAGTGGTTACAGCTTACAAGCTTCTTGCTTACTTACTCACATGACCAGTGTTGTCATGCTGAAGTAGAAAATAATTGCAGGAAATATTCCAACAAGAATAGAGTTAAAGAAACTAAACCACAGAAATGAAGAGCATACATTTTCCACAAGCTCCAGTGCCAGGTCTTTTGCCGATTCACTATCAGGATAATACACTGACCCAATCAAGTTGCTGAACTTATCAACACCTTCCAGGACAATCCGAACCTACATATCCACTTTAGATTTAGAAAACATGCAGAAATCCAACAAGCTATTCAAATTAAAGAAGATTACCCACATCTCGATTCAGTACTCTCATCTCAGTGAAGAACTTAGCTTCAAGAGCAAAAGGATCAGCAACTGTTTCAGCAGATGTTGAAACTGCAAGTCTTTGGGCAACTGTGAGTGAGGCTCGAGGTTCTCCGCTAACACCTCCATTAGTCTCACCAGCCTTCACTTCAGGTTCAACAATACTTTCAGGTGCAACTCTCTTTCCCATTTGTGGGGCCTAGTTCAAAGGAAAATAAATCATTTGGATTGTGGTTATCAAATTGAGATATAAATCATGAATGGGAACACCTATTTTCTTAACCGTGAATTGAATCTTATTATGAATCTAAAGAAACATCATCAATAAAAATGACGTTTAAGAGTTAAAACAAGTGACATAGCAAACTAATAAGCTCATATATCAATATCATATATGAACAACAAAATAATTCAAGATTCAAGGTATAAATCAAATGACAAAAGAAATGTGGTTGACAACACTAAGTTTGGCACTAGTGATTCATTAGAATGAATCGAGATTCAAACAGTGAATTGGGATTCACCATAAGGAATCAGGATTCAAAATGAGATTTATCTAAAATACATATACACGGAGAATTCTAAAGATTGAATCAGTTTTTATTGAATCAACATATAACTCGAATATAACGTAAGCTACAAATAACCATGATTCGACGCCTAAAAAGTATATGCTACATTTATCATACATACCTGAATTCCGGCAACGAAAACTTGGACAAACTGAAACTCTGGCAGCAGGTAGGCGCGAATGGTACTGCCATCACGAACCTGCTCAACAATTCCTTCCATGGGCCTTCCCTTGTTTGCAGATAATAAACCCATTGCATCCAAGTTGCTAGGGTCGCCGATGGCTGATGGTGGTAGTTTTCTGATAGACGCCTCAGCAGCGCCAGGAGTCTGCAATCAGCCATAAAATTGTTTATAGGTCAGTTATGATATATTTCTGTATGAGAATGAAAAAAGAGTTCTGCCTCTCCATCTAATTCTTTTTCACTCACTCTATGTCATCATCATGTGTGGAATTTTAAACAACACTGTATTGAGCTATTTAGGTAATACATTGGAGGGCAAAACATATCATCATTGTATGATCAAACTTTATTTCACAAAACAACAAGAAAGTAATAATTTTCATAATAGGGCATTTGATATTACATATTAACATGCAACATTTAATTAGGCCCGTGCTAAGATAACGACCTGTGTACAAAAACATTTTACATCAGTTGTATTATATTTAAATGCATGGAAATAATGACAATAGATAAATAGATAAGATAGCAGTTTACATCAGCAAAGATGCCAAACAGAACTTGTGTCCGTTAGAACTTACAAGTAAACCAAGTTACCGATAAAGCAAGTGGTTTGCATTAGCTTTAATGATAACTAAAACATACATTAATTTTTATGCTAGGAAATATCTAATTGTGCAAATCCAACATATTAAGTAATGAACACCCGGAACCAAACCTTGCTCCATCGACCGAGGCCTTCCTGTTTGGCTTGTTCTTCCAATCTTAACAATTCTGCAAGGTAGGGACTAACTTCTCCCCTCTGCTGTCCCTGCTCTTTTATCTGCCCAAACAAACCACAGCAACACAATTCAGCAATGCAAGGTAGATATAATATAATTCAAACACGACAAACGTCTATACATAAACAAAGTACCCAATCCAACCTTTGCCCATCCTCCAGAAACAACCAGCAATGCAACATTCTGATTCCCAAGAAAAACCGTGCCAAAGTCCCGATTTATCGACGGTACATTGTAATCAACCCTAAAGGCCACCTCCTATTCCAATTCCAACAAACAACACAATCAAGTCAAAGATTTGTCACACCTTATTAATTATCATCATAACAAAACAAAACAAAACAAAACAACAAGCTAAACTACAAATCAGCTACAAACCAAACCGAAAACTTCATTTATCACAAACCTTCCCTATGCAGAGCTTCCTCAAAAACTCTCTACTTTCCCACGCAAATGGCTCATCTACACCACCTCTACGAGCCTAAATCATTGATCATTCATACAATTCAACACATAATTATCAGAACTGAAGATACCTTTAAGCTGATTAATTATTAAAATGAATTACCAATCTAGGAGCAATCAACGACGATAAAGTGATGGTCCTTTCAGGCAATGTTTGACCAGGCTTTGGAGTAGAAACTGCCACAACAACCAAACAATCACCCGAAGGAACAGCTTTCACTCTTCCTTTATACCATCCCGTCGTTGCAATCACAGTTGACGACGCCATTAACAATCTACAAGCAAAAAAACCGCATGCATTAACATTCAACAACCACATAATTGATTGCATGAAAAGGAACTAGAATTGGAAGAAACAAACGATGAGAAAATGGAACGCATGCAATGAAAGATGAGTGATTGGAACAAGAGAACCTTAACAGATACGGAGAAAGTGAGAATTCCGCGGCGGATGGCTACGAATTTTCGGCTGGAATTTTGAACTAGAGTTGTTACTGTTTAGTGTGTAGTGTGTAGGCCTCTTTTATAGAAGAAATTACCGAAAATGCCACCAAATGAATGAATCTGTGCATTTTCTTATTTGTCCCGAATAAAGTCATTGTACATTTTTGACAACAATTCTTGAGTTGTGTTTGGTGCGTGTGTGATTTTGCATTACGGTTTTATTGTAAAAGTACAAACTCTCCTCGTCTTTAATCAAAACAAGAATCTACCTGAAACTTCAACCCTGAAATTATTTTTATTTTTTTACTTTTATTTTTGTTGACTTTTAATGTATTATGGCCAATTTTTGGATTGACTCATTTGAAATATATAAGTTTTGTAATACTTTTGGGTGGAACTTATTAAAACAGTTTGTAATATTATTCATAAAAAAATTTTAAATTTATTTTTATAAGTTTTTAAAAATAATTTAGGAAAATAAATTATAACACATAAAAAAATTAATTTTATTTTATAATTTTTGTTAAAAAAATAATTTATACAAACATTTTCATAAAAATTTATTTTGATACACATTTGTATTATCAACTCAAAATAAAATGTTTATCTAAAAAGATTTAAGTCCAATGGGTTTGAAATATGGAAATTTCTTAATAGATCTTTTATGTTTTTTAGTCACCACGTGAAAATATTTAAATGTCTTTAAATTTTAGAGATGTATTTCCGGACGCATCGGATTGTGATTGAATGTTAGAAAATTCTAGAGATTCATCTCTCATTATTTTACAGAGATGTATCTTTGTAACCTATCAGAATAGAACTTTCCATGTTATATTTTGTTTACGTGTATTTAGATGCGGATTTAAACCATATAATTGAAATGCAAAAAATGACGTACATAAATTCAAATGGTCCAAAAATGTCATATATAAATAAAATACCAATAAATGTAAAAAAAAAAAGTTGAGAACGATAATAAAGTAGCATGATGTCAAAATAAAATACAATTCATAGTACTACTACTATATACTAATGCAACTATTGTGTATGTCTGATTACATCTCCTCTTCCTCCTCTACCTTCTCGGGCTTCTCAGTCATCAATCCCTCATCCTCCGACATTGTCTCTGATACATCAATGTCCCTTGTGCTTTCGTTATAATGGCATGTAGGATCTGCCTCACACCAGACTCATCGGGGAAGATACATATGTCAACGCTCGCTTGTGCAATTTACATTATGCGACAACATCTTGGCAATACATTGACAACATGATCTAACTATGTAGTTGCTCTAGTATCTCCTGATGAGCTGGTCTCTACAGATCTCTTAGAGCAGCACGCACCATGTACGGATGTGACACCCTAAAGAATCATCTGATATACTCGTTGACGTTGCTCCAATCGGTCACAGCTATGGTACTTCGTGCCTCCTCCGGTACCAAATGAATCTCATAATCATCAAACATGTTATCTATTTGTCTACGTGTCAAAGCAAGAGAAGCAAAGACAATAGGGTGTCTGTGAATGGTCTGAGTGTAGCCAAACTGTCGTGTGACGCGCTCGGGAAGATGAGGAGCAGTGAGATGTGATTCACAGGCCAAACATCCTGAGTATATCACTATCTCATCAAATGTCCACGTCTCACGGTGATCGACATAGCTGTTGAAGTGCATGTCCTCGACAACCAAATAGTCAAGATACCCTTTGAAAGGCTCAGTCACATAGTTCCTTCTGAGTAGGGAAAAAGCAGTAGCATGAGGCATATCCTCAAAGTAAGTCGGTACACTCGCCTAGCCAGAGATGCGCGGGAAGTGCTAGAGGATCCAAACCTGAAATGAAAAGTTTGGAACATACAAATTATCAGTAATGGCTTTGCAAAGATGAAATAAAAATGACAAAGAAACATTAAAAGACTAATAATTATTACCGTCAGTAGTATGATGCTTCATGTGACGTGCTTCGTCTTCCACATACAACTCTCTAATAACTTCGAGTACATAGACCAAACAATCGGCCACACAGTTAAACTCATGGAACCGCTCGAAATCTTAAAAGTACCGTAGGTAGAAGACATCTGTATAAGTGGTACTCTTCTCCATAAAAATTGCAGTGCCAACCAAATACAGCAGGTATGCTCTCATATCATGCGATTTGTGAAGTGACACCAACTCATCATCACATGTAGCCTTCCGTGCTCTCAGGATCTCAGTTGTATATATAGTTTTTAGGTATTCGAACCTAGCATAAGCACCCATGATCTCGAGTGCCTCATCTTTGCCAATCCTCTCATGATCTAGAAGTCTCCCCTGATTGGAAGATGTAGCAAACACAAGACATCTTTGAGTGTGATAGACATCTCACCAAGCGGGAGATGAAATGACGAGTTCTCCGAGTGTCATTTCTCCACGAATGCATTAAGCATCATGCGATTGACCGTAGTATAACCGATCATGCACAAGTCCTTCACGCCAGATAAGGACAAAAGTGCCTGAAACCAATCATCATTCGGCTGAGATAAGCTAGTAATCTTCTGTCTGTGGTTAATAAACTTCTAAGGATCACGCTCCTGAAAAAAAATAAAAATTAATGTTAGAAATTTGTCATTTAAAATTAACATAAATAAAAAAGAATGAATCCAACTAATGTTACCTCTCTGTCCAAGATAGGTCTAGTAGTATGGTCTAGGTACAGAGGCAGTAATCACAAATCTACTGGGCATTCTCCAAATGCCTTTACCTCAGCATCCGCATCAACCTCACCCTCCAGAGGTGGCACTGGATCAGTAGCATCAACAGTAGGAGGTAACATTGGCTCAAAAGCATCTATAGTATCAGCAGTAGGAGGTGGCAGCGGTGACTCGGGTACCTCAGGCACCTAAATAGGGGAAAACAGTCGCCTACTAGAGGATGAAGGGAGTGATGTGTCGGTAGGTGAACTTCGTCTCCCGCGGGAAGAAGAAGAAGATGGAGAAATATGTGTCGTTAGGTGAACTTTGTCTTAAGCTCCAAAATATTCTGGAGATGCATCTCCGAAATATGTCCGAAGATACATCTCTGAAATATTTTAACGTAAACTAATAATTGGGTGTGTCCGAAGATGCATCTCTGAAATCTGGGGGTATTTAAATATTTTCGTATGGTGGCTAAAAAATATAAAGGGTGCATTAAGAAATTCCCTGAGATATTAGTATCTCCAATCTTTATGAGATTTATTAAATGTATTCAATTTCATTACGCTATTAACAATAAATTTTTTTACCTCATACCTTTGCCTTTATTTTTATACCCTTACGTTTTATAAAAAATTACCAATTTTATCCTTGTATATTTTTAACGAATTTAATATTTTATTTTTTAAATATTTTTTAACTTTTATTTTGTGTTTCAAAATACTTTGGAAAAGAGTTCTGATAAATAATTTTTTAATATTTTTTAACTTTTATTTTGTATACTAAAAGACTTTGTAAAAGAGTTCTGATAGTCATTTTTTAAAATTAACTTTTATTTTGTGTATCAGAAGATTTTACAAAATTTCCGATAGTTAATTTTTAAACATTTTTTAACTTTTATTTTGTGTAGCGGAAGACTTTGGAAAAAAGTTCAGATAATCAATTTTTTAACATATTTTAATTTTAATTTTGTGTACTGGAAGACTTTACAAAAGAGTTTCGTTAGTCCGTTTTTAACACTAATTTTTATTTTGTGTACGGAAACACTTTGCAAAAGAGTTTCGATAATCGATTTTTGAGCTTTTAATTTGTGTACCAAAAGACTTTGCAAAAGAGATCGGATTGTCAGTTTTTAAATATTTATTAACTTTTATTGTGTGTATATTTTATGTATTGGAACACTTTGTAAAAGAGTTTTGGTAGTCAGTTTTTAACATTAATCTTTATTACGTATCCGAAGATTTTGCAAAAGAGTTCTAGTCATTAATTTTTAAATATTTTTTAACTTTTATTTTATGTATAAGAAGACTTTACAAAGAACTTTTGATAGTCAATGTTTTAATATTTTTTATTTTTAATAAATTATTTATATAAAGATATTTTAATAAAAATATATATAATATAGAGATAGAAGAATAGATGATAGGATATTGGATAATATTTTTTTTAACAATATTAAGCATTTGACATATTTACATATATATATAAATCATTATTAGTTTTTAATTATATAATTTGTCATATATTCTATAATATGGTAGTTTTAAATCTATATCCATGTAAATATTTATAAAGCATATTTACTCAGCTTTCAATTTATGTTTAATTATTTTCTTTATGTAAAAAATTCTCTTTTCTAACAAACTTCCTTGTCTTTTATATTTCTGTTTTTTCCTTCTTTTTGTATCATTCATATTTCTTTTTTTTTATCTTCTTTTTTACCTTCCATGTTTGTTTTCTTCTTTTTTCATCTTTTTTATCATATTGTTTTATGGAAAATAAATATTTAACTATTCTTTTTTAATTTACAAAACACATATAAATAGTATTCAAAATACATTTTTGTTATATAATAAATAATATTGTTTTCTTTTAAATTTATCTAACTAAAAAAATAAAATATATATTTTTTAAAGTAATGGATTATTTCAAATCTAAATAAAATATTTATGAAAGAAAAAAATCAACAATATTAAAATTGAAAAGAATAAAAATCACTTTATTACAACTGTGGAAAAAAATACGTATTTTTCTAGATGAAAAATATATTGATTTAGAAGAACTTCTAACTCAAATTATTTACATAGCTAAAATAGATCGATACAATACAAGTGTGAGTGCAACTTTCCGCTAAATGTATTTTGTATGATGTCAA